CCGCGCAGCATATGACGCAGATGATGGAGGGGAGGAAGTGCAACCACAGCCGGTAGCCGCTGGCGTTCATGGTGTTGGACTCCAGGAAGGCGAGCATGGCCGCCTGGGTGACCCCTGGCAGCCCCAGCCCAAAGGCGCTGCTGACGTCGACGTTGAACCAGAGCAGCAGGGCATTGTAGAAGCTGTAGACTGTCAGCAGTCCTGCGTCCTTGCCGGAAGACCGCGCCCAGCTCGGCACCATCCAGCCGGCGACCCGAACCTGAGGGGGCGCGCGGCGGGGGGTGTGGCGCGGCGGCGGGAGGGGCCGAGTGGCGGAGGGGTGCGCGCGACGCGCCGCGATGCAGGAGAGGAGGGGGAGGAAGGAGGCCAGCCCCTGGGGCGACTGCAAGCTGTTGATGAGCTCCTTGGGGAGCTGCGCCGGCACCGAGTGGACCCACAGGGCTGAGGTGGAGAAGCCGAAGAGGAGCGGCATGAGCAGCGCGAGGGGGAGGAGCCACCGAAAGGTCGAGATGGGCACAGAGGAAGCTCCGCGGTTCCCCTGCACCTGCTCCTCCGCTGCCGCCTGCTGGCTGGAGAGGTACTCCTGCCGTGCCTGCTTCCCCAGCTTGGACCGGGCGATGGAGAGGGCGGCGTGTCCTGCCGAGGCGAAGCCGCCCGCGGGCTGCAGCGCCGCTCGCTCCTCGTCGGTCGGCCCGCGGCCCGCCCAGCGCTCCAGCGATCCAATAGTGACGGAGTGGCAGTTGTGGCTCGCTGAGGGCTTCCGGACGGCAAAGTAGCCGAGGGGCGTCTCCCACAGCCGGAGGCCCTCCTCATTGGCCTTCTTGACCGCCTCGGCGTCCGAGAGGTCGGGCTCTTGGGAGGATCCCCGCTGCGCCGCGCGCTCGCTCCCTTTGAGCGAGACCCAGGCGGTGGCCTCGAGCGCAGTCTCGAAGTTCCGAAAGAACTTAGACGGCCCCACCGACCAATTTGCCTTCCTAGGCTTGAGATTCGAAGCGTCATATCCCACGCCCTTCAGGCCGGTGGCACTCTGAGCGCTCAGGCAGGCGGGCGCCTCGCCGCCCTCGAGCGCCGAGACGACCTCGCCGCGCAGGCTGCCAAGCG